TACTTGTATATATGTACATTTATGTACAGAGCATTTATATGTATCTATATATAAAACACATGTAAATACATTACACACACATCATGTATACTGTAAGTCACGTGGAGCAGACACAGTAGTAACAACATGTATGGTCTGCACAGAGCCCTGGGGACGTGGCAGTCACTCCTCCCGTAGTTAGAAACATTGACTTGGTGGTTAAAATGCCTACCTCAGGTTGAATTCTACTTGTGCCATTTACTAACTGTAACATTGGACACATTATTTATCTTCTGCTCATATGTCTCCTCTAATATACATTATTGATAAGAATAGTATCAATTTCATAGGAGTTTTGAGGACTAAATGGTATATGCTGAGTGGCACTTTCTAACCAAGCTTGGTACCGAGTGGATACTTACCAAATATTTAGCTACTATTATCATTATTTGTAGTCAATGTTCTTTACACGTAACCCACCTCATTTGATCTATATATAGCCTTTTTATTGCTATTTTTCAGAAAAGAAAAGTAAGACTTTGAGGGATTTGCCCAAAGGCATACAAATGGCTATTGGCTGTGCTGGGATGAACCTAATGGCATTTGTTAGCTGTTTCAAATAAATCTGTTTTGAAGGGTCAATGGCACCAAGTTGTAAAGTTGGAGCTGTGTCAGCAGCTTCCTCCTGGATGCACAGTACGCTTTTCTTTAGAACAGTCGCCATTCAGAACACAATTCATGGAGCTTTTTGGGAAGCAGATATTGATTTTATTTTAAGTAAAGTCTTTAGCATGGAAATGGGATGCAGAGTGTGACTTTCTCGTTGGGCTCCAGTTCAGAGGAAATTGGATTTCCTAGAGTGCCAGCTGCAGAGACTCCGCAGGTGCACACGGCTCAGCAATCAGTGGCTAATTGGGACACACTAGGACAAAAATGCCCTAAATCTAAATCTTGTTCTATGGCACTTCTGTTTCTCCCCCAAGAGCAAGGCACAAAGTCCTTCTTAACTGAGGATGCTAAGGGATGCGAGTTGCTGTGGACAGGACATGGAACACACTGGTCAGTGGGGAGCCACAGCAGGAAGACCTGGAGTGTGAAGGCCATGGGCCTGGGCTGCATTCAGCAGCTGCTGCTGAGTGATGGCAGTTGGTACTACAGGCCCTCCCACCTGAGCATTTCTGGTTCTGAGTCCTAATCTAAAGATCAGGACCAACAGAACAGTCCTAGGGACCTACAGTCTGCACAACTGCACAACAGCAGCTGAACACAATAACCTGGGTGCTGGAGACAGACAGGGTGGCGGCAGAGGAGTGGAAGCAGGTGATACTCCAGTTCTAGAACTGAGAGCACATACAGGATTCCCTGAGTGAACCTCCTGTTGTAGACTCCATCTGAAAGGGCAGTGAGACCAACAGGCTCCCACCCTGCCTTGCGTGCACCACAGGAGCCACACGTCTCACTTTACAACACCAGACCCAAGTCACCAGGAATTAAGTCCTTTGTCCTAATATGCAGCTGCCTGTGCCAAGCGCCCACTGCGCCAAGTGCCCACTGCGCCAAGTACCAGCTGCCCATAGATCTGTGCCTTGACTCTTCCCATCTTTGGGTTTTGTATTTTTCTTCTACCTAGTCATTTCCAGATTTATCCATCTAATGAACTAATCTCTCAAGGTCCAGTTCTGGGGTCACCTCTGCTTCAAAGACACCTTTGACCCTGGAATCAGAGTTCAGGTCTTTGTGTGTCCCCCTAAATCACCTTGTCCAGACCTCTGCTGGTTCAGTGAGAAGTGATTGAGCACTGCCCAGGGGCAGGGAATGAGCTCTGGAAAACAGAAAAGGAACAAGGCGCAGATTCTGCTCAAAAGGGGGGAGTTGACAGGGACCAAGTCTTAGGTTCGTTCAGTCTGTGGCTTCTCTGAGGGCAATGACCATCGCTTATTCATCTGTATTCCTCCAGAGACTAGAAGAGTTCCTGGCACAAAATACGTCCTCAGAAGAGCTGAGTGAATGGGAAGCAGATGGAAAGTGATGGGTGCACACTGCCTCCTTGGCGCCTGTGCCAGGACAAGGCAGCTGGGATCAAAGCCTTTTCTGTGCGTAACTTTTTGTCATATTGCATTCTAAGGCTAACTTCTGAATACTGACATTCAGCTCGGAAGTAGACTTGGATTAACAGCTGAAATTTGAACACTACTTGGAATTAGTAGTTTGTGTCAAATTTATATCCCTCAATGAAATTTATTTCTGCCCTGCTGCAGACTACCTAAGCCTGCTTCAGGGGCTGTCTTGGCTACTTATTAATTATGTCATCGTAGTATATGCACTTAAGTCCTCTAATCTCCCCTTTACTGACCCCTGAAGTGGGAGGAATCGCTCAGACTCGCAGGGTTTGTGGGACTGCAGTCGTGTCCAGGACTGGCACACATGGCAGGGTGCAGTCAGTGATAGCTCTCGTCATACCAACATGACACAGGACGGTGGTTACCCACACCTCAGTAGTCTTGTGCCTTCTGACATCATTAATGCTTATCGTCATTAATACAAGCATCTGAGTGCCTGTATTCTAGTCTCTCACAAGAACAATGACACTTCAGTGCCAGAGAGGCTTCGCTTGATAGCAGAGACCGTGTGAAATGGTCCTGACACCTGGGGCTTTCTACCAAGGAGTTACAGCTGGAGAAGAGAAGCCTTCAAAATGCAGAGTTCTAAGGAATTAAACTGAAACTCTATCTTCATCCTCAGTGCAGGTTTCATAAAACTCTGCATTCAACATTCTTATACAATTACTTATTTCTACCACCATACCAGGCTCAGAAAAAACTAATAAAAATCTGAATTAAAACTGAAAAAAAGAATTAGTTAAGGTATGGTCCGTGTTCAAATCAGATAGGAAAAACCTCTATTTCTATTTCATTAAGAAACTTTGTCATGGGATCTATAAATTCAGTGCAACCCCCAACAAAATCCCAATGTCAGTTTTGCAGAAACAGAAAGATCCACCCTAAAATTCACAGGGACTCTCAAGGGAGTCCCCAAAGCCAAAACAACCTTGACGAAGGAGAGCAAGTGGAGGTTTTATACTTCCTGGTTTCAGAACTTACTATGAGGCTATGGCAATCAAAACTGTGTGGTACAAAAACAGACAGAGAGAACAATGGAACAGAAGAGAAACCCTACAAATAAACACTTTGACAAGGGTGCCAAGACCCTTCAATAGGGAAATGACAGTCTTTTCAACAAATGGTGCTGAGAAAACTGGATATTCACATACAAAGAATGAAGTTTGACCCTTAACTTACACCATATAAAATATAAAAACTAAAAATTAACCCCAAATAGATGACACCATAATACAAGAGTTAAAATTCTAAAACTCTTAGAAGACAAGACAGGAAAATCTCCGTGGCTCTGGGCTTGGCGATGATTTGTTCAATGTGACACCAGGAGCACAGGCAACAGAGTAAAACCAGGTGAACTGGGTCAGAGCTAACACTTGTGCACATCAGTGGACATCAGCAAACAAGTGGAGAAAGGACCTGCAAATCATCTGTCTTATGAGGGGTTAATATCCTGAATATATAAACAACCCTAAAACTCAACAACAATAATAAAATAACTCAATTAAGGCAAAGGACTTAAGCAGAAAATTATCCAAAGAAGACACAGAAATGGCCCAAAAGCGAGCAAATCAAAACCACATGAGGTACCACTTCATACCTGTTAGGATGGCTACTAAAAACAGAACAGAAGAGAACAGAGAGCAGGCATTGGTGAGGATGTGAAGAAATTGGGAGCCTTGCACACTGTTGGTGAAAATGTAAAATGGCACAGCCACCATGGAAAACAGTGTGGCGGCTCCTCAAAAAATTAAAAACAGAATTACCACATGGCCAAGCAACCCCACTTCTAGGTATATACTCAGTATTGACGAAGGGACTCAAACTGAAAGCAGGTATCCATACACTCGTGTTCATAGCAGCATTACCAAAACAGCTAGAAGGTGGAAGCAACACCAGCGTGCATGAACAGACGAACAGATAAACAAAATAGGGTCCATCCAGACAATGGAATGCTATTCCGCCTTAAAAAGGAAGGATATTCTGACACATGCAACAACATGGATGAACCTTGAAGATATGCTAAGTGAGATAAGCCAGTCACAAAAACACAAGTACTGTGTGATTCCACTCATATGAGGGCCCCAGAGTTGTCAGATTCATGAAGACAGAGAGTGGAATGGAGGCTGCCAGAACGTGGGGAGCAGGGAATGCGGGGTGACTGCTTACTGGGAAGAATGACAGTTTGGGAAGATAAGAAAGTTCTGAAGAGAGGTGGTGGTGATGCTCACACAGCTACCACTGGACTGTACACATAAAAATGATTAAAATGGTAAACTTTATGTTATACATATTTTACGACAATTTAAATAATTTTTTGAAAAGAACACCTTAATAACCTGAAGTTCTGCAAGAAGCATGGCTCCCAAGATCCACAGTGGCACCAAGGGAGATTTATCAACAGTAACTGACAGCAACCTAGGAGGATTTGGGCTATGCAAAAGAAGCCCTAATTAAAGACCTGATTAATTTCCTTAAAGATACAATGTCCCTAAATAGAACTAAGTGTAGAAATAGAGTTCTGATTTTAAAGGGGCTTCTCTACAACTGTCAAAGGGTGAACAGACCTACTCCTATGGCTATGAAATCATTTCTGGGAGATGTAATTGGGTAATAGGAGGCTACCCGAGAATATGTTTAGAAATGGATTACAAATCTGACTTTATGTTGAGTTTCTTAAAATTAAGGGACACTGTGCTCTTTGGCAAATAAAAAACCCAAAATTCATAAACGCATCTTTATATTTTTTCAAAGTAAGATATTTTAAGGCAAACAGACCAGACATTTGTCTGCATGCAAGTCTGGAGTGGGACATGGGATCATTACCTTCATGTGTCTCCTTGAGCAGCCATACGTATATGGGACCCACCAGAACCTTTCTTGACAGGATGTTGTTGATAATTTGAGAGAGATAAATACTTGGTTGGATTTAACAGCTACATTTTTGTCTCTTCCATCAGATGTGGGTCACTCTAGAGAAAAAGAAAAATGCAGAGAAATGAGGTTGATATTCACAATGAAATACAATTCCTACATGGGGGAAGTGAGTCTCAGGGAGGTTTGCACTGGAATACAGTGGGGTTAGAATAATCAGACAGAGAGCACAGGCCCACACAGATGCCCCAGGGAGGGAGGTAGGAGATACTACCTCCAATACATTTCTGATAAGTAATCAATTACAGAAAACTCCTTTAGAAAACTAAATCACCGTGACATGAAAACTACACAAAACTATAAGCATATTCTTATAAGAGTATGAGGAAGAGTTATTTTGTGATTGAGTCTAAGTACTAAGGCAAATGAAACACTTAAGAGGCCAGTCAGAGAAGCATGAGTGTGTGTCTGTACATAGACACGCAGCTTGCATCACCAGCAGGTTGTCGTGCGTGTTTTGATTTTGTCTTTCTCTTCCACAGAGACAGTAAGTAAGCTGCAGTCCTTTCCATCTAAAAGACTGTGGAGCATGTTAGTTGCTAATTAAAAAAGAAAACAAAATACAACCTCTTAATAATTTAAATTTTTATTTGTTATAACTATAAAGCAACACCCAAATATAGTGTCTAAAATGGGCCTTCTATATAATCTTCTACTATTAATATCTATATAGTGGGCATGGTTATTTTTAATACATTCTGAGATATTACTAACTTGGCTAAGAATGATTCAATATAGTGGTTTTACAAAAATGCAGGTTAATTCTCACCATATGAAGAACATCAAATAGACAAATTTAAATAAATCTTATAAATGAGCCAACATAAAGCAAAACAATGAAGTGACTGAGGGTACATGAAGAGGACCTGATGTTAAAGAACAGAACCGCTCCATCTGACATACTGCCAGCACTGGGTTAAAAAAATCACACTTCTGTAAAATATTATTTACACAATGTTGTACTCATCTGGTAACCCTAGAAATTCACCTCTACCACTTTGGGCATTACATAACGTTTTCTAGGCTGATCACAGCAGCCACTGTCATGTGGGGGAGTCCTCGTGGTTCTGGGAAGAGATCACAGAGAAAGACCTAAAGACACTCATGCTCACCCCTGAGGGGCAGGCTGGTGTCCTCACAGCAGATGTCTGAAAACAGTCAGGTTTTTCACTGAAGTGTTAATAAGTACCTACAAAACATAACTCTGTGGACAAAATGACAGGTTACCTGATGTGTGCCCATACCCCACACACACGTTCACCAGTCAGGGAGCTGAAATATCCTTCTCATTCCCCACATGGAGCACTGCACCCCGCTTTCATCTTTTCATGGAGGCTGCTCCTCCAAATGTCACCATCTCTGTCTTCCCATCCTTGGGTGACAGGCTCCTTTCCTAGTTCCCTTGAGCTCACCCACAGACACAAGGCACCTGCCCCTCTTTTGGAAGAAAGCTCACTAGGGGAACTGTTAGGAGAATCTGTTCTCCAAGGTGCATTTTCATCTGGAGTCACTGATGAGCTATAGATGAAAAAGTCACTGCCAAATGGATCGCAGGCTAAACACTCTTGCAGGGCATAGGATGCTTCTTACAAACATATACATATATTCTCACTTAAGACAACTGATATGTACATACAAATTTCTTTTTAAAAGGAGCATTTTTAAAAACAGAATAAGACAGCCCAGCTGGCGTGGCTCAGCGGTTGAGCATCGATCTAGGATTCAGGAGATTGAGGTTTGATTCCTGGTCAGAGCACATGCCTGGGTTGTGGGCTCGATCCTCAGTAGGGGGCGTGCAGGAGGCAGTTGATCAATGACTCTCTCATCATTGATGTTTCTCTCTCTCTCTCCCTCTCCCTTCCTCTCTCTGAAATCAATAAAATATATTTTTAGAAAAATAGAATAAGACGAGCTGAGCTGATTACTCTTAACAAAATACCTTCACTCAGTGACTTGATCTCATAAGACATCCCCTTTCCTAGTTTAGACACATAGTGAAGGGCTCCACCTATGGTTCTGGCTGCTCTCAGTTTCCTGTAACAGGCACTGTTTGTGGTAATTTATCATGGAACCCCCGGGATGGGCTCTTAAATGAATGTTTAGTGGGAGGTGAGTTACAATCACACTAGCCAGGCGTGGTCTGCCAGGCTACAACTATCAGCCCTCAAGATGAACAACAGAAGCATCAATTTTTAAAAAATGTAATATGCATTTCATCAAAGTTATACATACACGTAGTTTAAGGATCAAATAGCTCTGTATGACTTGTTATGGAAAATAATGCTCCTCAAATGTCACCTATTCTATTTCCAGCTCCCAGAGGGAAAGACTATCCACTCTTCGGCCATTTCTGTTGGCAGTGACCTCCAAATCCCTAAGCTATGTCCCACCAGGAAGCATCTCTCCGTGAACTGCCCACTGCGGAGCACAGGGCGTGGTGTTCTAGCACACGTCCCCTGCCCCTCCATCCACACACTTTCTGCCCCCAAGATAGTTACACTGACTAATACCATTAGATTGATAATGATATTCTGTTGTTACAATATGAAAGCGCTGTTGACAGAGGACCTTATATTTCATTTGTTGACAACTGTGATGGACACTCACATACTCTTCTGTGAGAGTCATGACTTGTTCCCCAGACTCTCTCCCAATTGAATAGTCTCCTCTCATCACAGCAGGCATATTAGGTGTCACCTTGGTGCCCTGGCTAAAGTCTCAGCAGAGCTGTCAATATGGTCCATCTGGCCTGGTTCATGCTGGGGTCCCCTGAAGATCTCAGGACGACCCCCTTCACCAGCACCCCAGGTTGTCTGGCAGCCCATCTGCTGTTTACTGCATCCCATGGCTCCTCTCTCTTGGATGAAGACATCATCCCACAGCTTCCTAAGGGAAGGTTCTTGGGAGATCATTTTTTAACTATGTCTTTAATATTTGTTTGAGTAAAACAGAGATTGGGATAATCCTCCCTCAGTGTCTGAAGGCTTCACTCCACATCTGTCCATCAGGAGAGTTCTCTGTATGAGTCTTCTCCCCTAGAGGCTGACTCCACCTTGCCGGAACACGCTGTTCCATGTTCTCAGATGTCCCAATGATGGTGGGTGTGCTTTCACCCATCATGCTGGGGCCCCTAGAACTTTCAGGGACATTCTCTTCACTCCTCCCTTAGGGTCTCTTTCCTCCATTCTCCCTGCTCTCTTCCTGGAGCTTGTTATTCAGATGACGGTCTTACTGGAAATAAGCTCTAATTTCCCTGTTTTATAGCTTTGTCTTTTTGTTCTGGCTAGTTTCCTGTATTTTACCTTCTCACCCTTGTAGTGAGATATTTAAACTACAAATTTTACACTCATATTTTTACTTCCAAGTGGCCTCTGGGTTATTTGAATCTTCCTCTCCCTCGTCTACTTAGAGGGTACTCTGTTTTTGTTAAGTGCAATAGTTTTCTTCCACAGCTTTGAGGAGGTTAATGTTTCTTCTTTCTTCTTGTATAGCTTCTATTTCCTCCAATTTCCTTTTTCCCTGTTCTTCTGTTTGTTTTGTTTTTTCTTACTAAAGGATTTGTCAGGCATCCGGAGATCCTTGGCTGGCTGCTCAGACCTACAGTACTGGACTGTCTCCTGGAAGTCTGGTCCATGTGGGCAACGCCGCACAACCTTGGGCTTCTGTGCAGCTGCTTCGATGGGGTCGGGGGTTGGGATGCCCAAACAGCCCCATGCAGTTAATGCTTAGCCAGACAGCATTGGGATCCCACACTTCTACTCCCAAGCTGGTGTCCTTGGCAAGTGACTGCATGTTTCTCTACACCATTTCCCTGGTTTGCAAAGTGGTGACGAATGATCTGTTAGCTACTCGTTTACAGCCTTTCATCATAGAGTCCTTTCTTGGCCACTCCACACTAGAGAAATATAATTTAAGGTTAGTTCTTGGAGATTCCAAGATGGCGGCAGATTGAGTGGAAACTACAGTGACACTCTCCCAGGAACAAACTGCAATTACAACTAAAATATAGGAAAATCATCCCAAATAATCAACGGAAGATGAGCTGGAGAGCACCCTCACAACCAAGAACCTAAAGTGGAGACCACATAGAGATGGGTAGGAATTACAGAGGCACGAGAGGGCTGGCTGGGCTCCCACAGGCAGCAGCTGAAGGTCTGGAGGGAGATCTCAGCTGTGGGGGGTTCCCACTGAGGACTCTGGGGCCTAAACCCCCGGTGGGGCTCCCCAGACCAGAGCACCAGAACTCATTTCAGATGGGTAAACAGAGCCTGGCTGGGAGTGTAAAAGCAAATGCTAGAGAAACCCTAGAGAACTGGACAGTATAACACTGGTCTCTGGAAAGCTGGGACATTTTCCTGGGTATCTAAAAGACTGCTGCAATGCACAGAAAAGATGTCCAGGAAAGACATGGGGGAAAAGGCACTAGTCACTCATCTCTGGTGACCTCCAGGTCCTAAGCAAGCAGGGAGTGAGAGTGAGGCTGTCTTGTAAAAGGCCTAAAGTTTGAAGGTATACCTCTTATACAGATCCCCTTGGCACAGGGTAGAAGGTATTCACACAATGTATTTAGGAAAATCTGAGCCATCTACTAGTTTATACTGATCAGTTGTAACACCTAGGAAACAAGGCATAAAAACAAGCATGAATATGCGCAAAACCTCCAAGAACTTAAAAAAAAGATAGCTAAGAACTCAGTGTCCACACAATGTATTTTGTACTTGGTATACAACATGTACAGAATTTAACAAAACAAGTGCAAGATATATAAGCTAAAAACTACAAAATATTGTTTTAAGAAATAAAGGATCTAAGTAAATGGAAGGACACCTATGTTCATGGACCAGAAGACTTATTATTATTAATACAGCAATACTCCCCCAAGTGACCAACAGATTCAGAATACTCTGCCAAAGACCCAGCTATTTTTTTTTAATGAAATTATTAAGTTGATTCTGAAATTTACATGGAAAAGAATTCAGAATAAGCAAAACAATCTTGAAAAGGAAAAACAGAGCTGGAGAGGTCAAATTCCCTGATT